GATTTTTAATGGGGTATAACCCTTGAAAGATTTTCTCAAAGTTAATTATTTTGCTTATACTTTCTTGTAAAAAAGTAAAAGGTTGGATTTTTGCGCATGAATAATCATGACGAAGAATTTTTAGTGGTTAGAGTATTCAAGCGCAAAGAGGCAGAATAGCATATACATAGCCTTACCTTTAAATGTCTGCTTACTATCCATCGTCGGCTTTGTGAATGGCCCCTCTCGTATTGCCTATGAGGACGAAATACAGATTAGCCAAAAGTGGATATCAATCCAAACTAGGGGAAATTAATTTCAAAAATAAAAATTAGTCTTTAAATTGCAAATACGATTATGATAGAATTAATACATATGACTTAGACTACCCACATCTAAAATATTATAGTATGAGTAAAGCTTATACAGCTAGGAAATTAAAGGAGTGATAATACAACTACTCATGAGTACCTGAATAGGAAGTTAGCCTGTGTCAATGAAATTCGATGCTAGAGACGCATCAAATGCCTCAAGTGAAACAGAATTAGAATCGTGGATCCAAAAGGCCATCTAAATCATTCGCTGGATTGAATGACTCTGTAGCTGAAGATCTCAGAGGTTTCAACCACTTGCAATGAATACTGATCCTTGCCTAAAAGTGCTAAAATGCCAATGTTAGAAGTGGCCTGACCTCATTTTCGCAACTAGGTCGTATTATCAGAGAAACTTAGTTGGACGTATTTTGTCTGAAGTTCCCTGTTATAGTTTGTCACAAACTCTAGCGTCGGACCGTCGACTTGATACTTTCCCAGGCGTTTCGCCGGCATCGTCATTGAGTCTTGCCAGTCTCAGCACCAAGCTACAACTCGTCAAGAGACGAGTGAAATCGATCAGTTGAGCAGTCTTTTGCCCAGCCGTTATGTGCCCATCCCTCTGATTTAAGCTTTTTATCCGGATCTCCCTAATGTGCTTGTAGATCTGTTTCATATCTTTATAGTTGACTGAATTTACTTGGCTCCAGTCCAAGTATACGTTTCATGAAATACCCTATTTCTCAATTCTTCAGCAACACGTGAGCTGTCGCGTCGACGAGGAGTCCAATTAAACCTTAAAAAATTAATTTACATGAATAACGATAGCCCTTAATGAAGTCGTCAGACTAAGAAAAATACTATTAGACTGGGCATAATCTTGGAAAAAAATAGTTTTTTCCTCAATTATAGGATCACAAATTGGATAAAAAAGGCTTGCATCTTGAAAAAGATTTTTCATCTCTAAAAGCTTCTGGAGTGCCAGCTAACGAATAAACTGGGCCGCAACTGCTTTTGGTCTAAAATTTTGCTAAAGTTGTGTTTCCAAAAATCGAATGATTCAAACTATAAAAGCGCATGTAACCTAAATATCTTTTTATGGGTTCTTTTGAGAAAGCAGTAAGAGATGCTTCAGGTTTGAGTCTCTTAGGGCCAGCGAAAACAAGTGCTCCAAGGGTTGTTATGCCGGTTTTCTGCGGAACTTAAACTAATCTCGCCACTGAGCACGTACTAAAGAACGCACTTTAAGTGCTCTTCTTTGTTCTATCATAATAAATTCCCATCTTCGAGCAACTCTGAGGAAGCCTCGAGTGGCATTCATACTTAGTATTTCCTCGTATAAGATCCTTTGGGGCAAAAAGATATTCTCTTATAATTAATTAGTCCTACCTACATCCAATTAGTTCTATACAGCTCTATTAGAATACTGTATGTTGAAGAATATTGCCGGCCTCCTGTCAATCTTGATAGGTTTGGGGCAAAACGAAAATGAGTCTCGCATGCGTAGTCTAACAGAATGTCTTCTGAATGCTAGGGCAAAATGGTGATCAAAATTCATAAATCAATCATTCGGAGAACAATGATAAGGCGCAGACAGGGAGATTTACAAAGTTTATTGTCATGCAAAGTCTATACAGATCCATGTAGGATGGAAGAGAATTTAAACTACGTAAACATGCAAATACACCTACAAATAGTGCTAGAAAATCTAAAATTCCTGCAAAGCTTTATCCTGTTGAGACACATTCAAACATATTCACATAATCAACTACGATAACCACAAATGGCTAACTTGTATGGTTTATAAAACCATTTTTCCCAAATAGAAATTGGGCAAAGGCCAGGTCGCCCAGGTTACCGCATTGAATCTGCAAGACTAACCTTAACTGCCTTCACTGATTCGGCCGTAGTGTTGGCCGATTTTCCGGCTCGGCGTGCTCCTGGAACTACGACTTCCCGGGTTTTATGTAAGGTGTACCAGTGCGCCTGTCCATTCATAACATCTTTATCTGTAACAAAAGTAAAGTAAATAGTTTAAATGCTCAGAAAATATTCCAAGGAAAAATTAATTAT